AGTGGATCGTGTTCAGTTATGGAGGTTATTGAAGGGAGGTTTGAGATTCATTTTGCAAATGAGAAACGGAGAAAAACAAAACAACTGAAAAATACATTATTTTTACAGAATTGCACCTGCCATGATCATAACGCATCAAGGCAAGCGCAAACCAAAAATGGTCCCGCATTTGCATGGTAAATTTCAATACAGAACAATCCACTGTGGGTTTGACAGGCGGGTTTTATGGGCAGCCCTGGTGTTTATGCTCAGTGGTGACGGTAGTTGACCTTTTGACATCCGGCCAACACAAAGTCCTTTCGCCGCCCATTTAGAGGATGTTACATCATGACTAATCTGCAGCAAGTCTATATATAAAACCATTATGTGTGAAAGAGAGACTGCGATCCCGGCACGACAGCTGTTCCTCTGATGCATCATTCTTTGGATAGGATGACCAAATGTGATGAATACTCACAATCCTATGCATGTTTTACTCCATCCCAAATGGATATGCGGTGCCCGAAAAAGTAATAAATTACAATTTTGAGAGCTGCTAGGAGAGATAATTCAGTATCGACTTGAACCATATTTCCTCTTGTCAGGGGGGATGTGAGGTCTGACACTCATGGTGAAGCTTTACTTCCTGCACTGGTAAACTTAAAAACACGCAAAAAGTAAAAACCTAGGGAACTGGGGCTGTTCAGACAGAACGGCCTTGAACCCTTTCAGGGACAGTGGTTACGACAGTAGACAGCCCATCATGTTATAAGGCCAAATGTATGAAAGGGTTAATTTATGAATCTACAGATGTGTAATCCTCCTTACGCTCCGACAAAGGACCAGTACTTGTTAGACTTTGAAGTGAGGACACGTGCAGGGTTTTAGGACATTGAGCTGACTCTCGGCTCTCTTCAGGGCAAAATAAGGCTTCTTACGAGAATGGATATCAGGCGCGGTGTGGAGTATCATCGAATGAAGGCGTGCGTTTGAGCTGTACAGAAGGTCCTTTGAGTGCGCTCATTTTAAAGCAAATAAAGCAGCCACATAAATGAGGAGGAAGTGGATAGGGAACCGATGTAAATGAGTCGAAAGAAGAAAACTGTGACTTCATTCATTCATTCATTCATACAAGAATGATTTCTGTAGTCAATGGCCACAACATTACGTGGTCCAACATGAAGTCTTTTTGACTCGTGGCCCAGTCGGGAATCCATGAGCCAAGCTATAATGGTCGTGTCAGAGCAAGTACTGCCCCCAATGTTGATTTTGTATTTAGAACTCTGTCATATGAATCGACTTTTTGGAAAAACTCCTCTCTGAATAGTTTTGAGTGACAAAATTACAGCCTGAGAGGGAAGTAACCCCAAACTTTTCTGGGCAATATGTTGTATGCGCCTCAACTAGTCTAAACACGGCATTCTGATTAAAATTGCATTAGTGGAATATGAGTTAAGCAGTAAAACCTGTTTTTGTAAATCAGTGAGTGGGAGCGGCCATTTTGCCACTTGCTGTCGACTGAAAATGACATCATAGTTGCTGGGGGCTCAGGTAAGAACCGATCATGGCTCATCTTTAGAAAGCAGGTATGATGACATTACAAAAAATGTGGTTCAGTAATGTTGAACCTCGTAACTCAAGATTTCCACGTCAGCCAAAACGTGATGTTCTCATAAAATTATAATTGTTTCTTGTATAGATTTGGCCAGGATGATTTGACTTGACGTGGGTGTCTGCAGCAGCCTCGACACCAAAATAATTTAGCCTAATAAATCAATATTCTGCGTATTCTGGCCGATGATTGAGGATTTCTAAACTAACGTGCACAAAAAAAATTAATAGAGATGAAAGGGTTTTAATGTTTGTTTATTTTAATTAAGACAATTAGGGGAATTATAATTAATACTATAAAACAAATTATATATGCATATGTTTTCATTTAACCCTAAAAGTTGGGTCGAAATGGAAATACTCAAATTTTTGCATTTTTTAACCCAATTTGTTCTATTTATTTAACCCCAAAAGTTGGGTCAAAAGTGAATAACCCAATTTTCTGGCTCAAATTCACGCAAATGCGGGTCTGTAATTTTTTAACACAGGAATTGGGTCAAATTTAACGCACATTTTGTTATTTTTGACCCAAGTGTTTTCAGAGTGTGCGTCCAGATGTGTGCAGTTGTCTGTGGGAATGAGAGCAGTGTGTGAGTGGGACAGGAAATTATGTCAGGCGTCCTGAAGGAGATTCTGTTTTGTTCTGGGAACACGCTTGCCGAGTCACATGGCGCCTGACACTGACACACATTATAAAACAAACGGACATGTGATGCGTTTAAAAAATAACAGTCGCCTGACTACAACATCTACAGTTCATATTGCATCTATCATGAGAGTTTTCACACCCTACTAGGCTCAAGAAATGAGCAGTAAGATGGAGGAAGGGCGTCAGTTTGTGCGTGTGTGCATGCGTGCGCTATCAAATCAGTGCCTTCAAGCATAAGCAGGAGTTAAGCCAATTTGGTAAAGCAGATCAGCTCAGTTTTGTGGAGCTCAAGAAGTCAAGGTCAAGTTGTCACGACGAAGCAAAATGCTGAATTGACAACAGTATTCTCTAAATATTTATTTTTAATTGAGCACATTCAACGAGAATTAGCTGGGACTTGTCTGAATAGTAATACACTACATTATGTCAAAATGGTAGAGTGGACCCCCGTCTGCTTGTGGTTTGGTACCCATCTTTAGTGGTGTTGGAAGGAGCCTAGAATGCCCTACAAAGAAAAAAATGGAAACTACAACATCCGATTGAACTGGCGGAATGAGATATCCCATGAGGAATGGGATAGATTTGGTAAATATATGTTGCAATGATTCAACAAGAATATACAACACATATGGGGGAGATTTTTTTTTTTTGTCGATACTCTGAGTGTGTTGCATCATACCATCGCCTCCACTTTGCCAGGATTAACGTACTGCATATTTATTGCGTAAACTGCTGGACTGCCTTTATCCCTCTTTGTTTTGTGACTCTGTATATACATAAATAACTTGGTTGTTGCATTTATTGTTGTTGTTGTTGTGTTTAATCATCAACAACTTTATTTAATTGAGAAAATGAAAATGCAATTCCTATTCGTGAGAGATATTCTGCCAATACCTTATCTGACAGTTTTGCAATAGTTAAATTAGTGTTGCCAATTGGCAAATGACAACATTACCTGAAAAGTGAGCACACACACACACACACACACACACACACACACACACACACACACACACACACACACACACACACACACACACACACGCAGACACACACAAGCCATATGGTGTAATTTGACCCCGGCCAGTGTTTGCCCCTGGCAGCAAGGCGACAATCACTTATGTGTTGTTGAGGGACACGCAGCGATGTCAGCTTCTATCTCCCACCAGTGTCGTTTTTCATGTGTATTTTCTACTGCAGCTGACTGCTGCTATAACTAACTAAAGCTGTACATTATTATTATTTTTATTTTTTTATGAAAAAGTTCCCACACAGCAGTCCCCACCCATGCCTTTCCCATTTTCTCATACACGTTCACAGGGTGTTAAGTAGGACACTACAAGACCTACACTTAATGGCCAATGTACATCAGAAGTTTTAATAAATGATTGCTTTAACACAAGGGTGCCGAACCTTTTTCACCGAAGATATACTTTTCAAGCCAACCAAGCTTCCGCGATCGTCCGTTACCACACGCGCACGCAAACACACACGCGCGCGCATCTACACGCACATTTATATCGCAATGGTCTAATCTCAAGCTGCACTTGCAAACTGCTGATCGCTAACAACTTCCGGTCATGGAGGTCACGTGCCACCATAGGTTAAAGATGACCCGCTTTTTTATTGTATTTTATTTTTTAACGCTTTTTTGTGAAAGTGAAACTGATAGGATGCTTAGGGTGCCGTGTAAACGATCACAAAAAATGTCATTAATATCACACACACAGACAAACAAATCGTTTTTCTCCCATCCCCTCCCCAGCCCACCCCAAGCCCCACCCCCACTCCCACAAGCCTTTGCTTTTTCTTTGATATTTTTTGAATCTACTTTTAAACCTTCCCATTTAAAATTCAAGTCAGATCTTGTTTCGAATCAGGCCCATTAAAGTCTCATAATCCTTTAGCTATAGTCTTGTCCTCTTTTTACTTCCTCCCCTCCCTGCTCCATCGCTCACTCCGAGTGGATAATTTGAATTTTCAACAGTCAGCAGTGGCCCCTTGCTTTTTTTTTCCCCCTTCACACACAGGATGTATACTCATCCCTTCCACTTCCTTTTTCCAACCTTCCTTCTTTCAGGACAACCAGATGGTGAGACAGCAGCTGAGCCGCAGACAGAAAGAAGCCAATTGACGCATGATATCACACAAACACACATTTGGCCTACACACACGCAAACTATCTATAGTATACAACACTTCCTTTGTTCTCCATTACTTGGAAAGTGTTGGGGGGGAAACCTGATGATGACCATCCACATTCCAGGGACGTACGCATGCACGCACGCACACACACACACACACACACACACACACACACACATGTTTGTGCATTTTTGTGCGAGTGCGTATGTTCGTGACAGTGTGCATGTGTTTGTCATTGAGGCCAGTTTATCAGAAGAGTGTGGTTGACTGTCCTTAGTGCAGCCTGAACATCAAACCAAGTCATTTTAAAGCAGGGGTGTCAAATTCATATTTGTCACGGACCACATTGTAGTTACGGTTTCCCTTGGACACTATCTGGGGAAATGTTTAGTGAGTGTATCAAAAACCGTGGTAAAGTTAGGATGGAGTTATCGCATTCTTGCGATAAAAGGAATGTAATCGGAAGAAAAGCATATTTTCCCAAACTAAACTTAAACACATAAACAACAGTTTCATCCCTAGACCTAATCACAAAGCGTGTCGCTCTTTCTGTAAACTGTCTGCCTGACGTGACAAGTCTTCAGCTCAAGCAGAGCGCTTGGAAGCAATCACTTACTTTGACGTCTTGCTCCAGTGTTCGGATCAGTTCGCCATCCACTTGCCCCGTTTGGGCCACACGGATGGAGCGCCGCTCCGACTTCCTCAGCCGGTACTGCAAAATGCGGCAGGGCTTGTTCGCCTGCCAATAAAAGATGCACTCCGAATCAAAACATTTTTGTAACAGGGTAATTTTCAATAAATTGTGAATGGATTACGATGGGATTTGAAGCAGAGCTTCATTATGAAGGACAAACTGAATGCAGTCAAATACTACTGATGCTTTACAACTTTTGAATGTGAATGAGAAATATGCCTTTAAAAAAAATCACAAAAAGTGCCAGTGTCATAATGTCATATTATGTTGTACTTGAGAGGCTCCCCCCACCCTGAAAATCATGAACCCGAATTAGAAGTTCCACTGCATTCACAGCTTAAAAACATTCTCCAGCACTCTCTGATTCACCCCCTTTGTTTTCAAAGTAAGCTAACAAAGAAAATGAGGTTCAGTGAGAGGCTGAGCTCTCATTTAGTCATGCCCGCCTGCACTCACATAGAAGAGACACATCAGCGAGGCGCATACACACCTGCTCCAGCTGTTGGCGCAGTTCCTGCAGCTGGTAGACGTCGTCCTCCATGTACATGTCTCTCATCTCCAGCATCTCAGATCTCAACTCTTCCATCTCATCCTGGAAACAACAGAATGCATGTGAATCAAACATCCATTTTCTACTGTTTAGCCTTTTCGGGATCACAACTGATCTGCAGCCACTGGCAGCTAATTTGGGGCAATCAACGTGCACATGTAGACAAAGGACCATTGCCATTCATATTCACACCTATGGGCAATTTAGTCTGGGTTTACACTGCAATGCGATATCCCCTCTTGTCATAAAAAAGAGGTCATTTCATTTATAGGACATGTCTTGAGTAACAAAAAAAAGTGCACAGAATAGTATGTTAAGATCTTGTTTTGATTCTTCAGTCCTTCCACTTTCCAGTAAGGAGGTAAAAAGATCAGTGAAAGTTTATTGGAGTCTCTTTGTGAATACTCTTACAGTGCCTGTCGGGAAAGGTAATCTTTGCAGCGGCAATTAGGAGCGAGGCAAAGGAGATTCCTCCAGTGGAAACTAGATACAAAATATAATGTGACAGAGGGTGGACAAGGCGAGCAGATTCTTGTACATAATAGGAATGAATTTTTAATTTCAGTAGAGGAGCATAAATCATATCAGGTCATTCGGTTTAAAATTGTGTGCCCGGCTCCAACAGAGATTTGGTCACGTGTGCTTGTGGGACGCCATTAAACTAGTAGAGTGATTTCTGGAGTGTGTATGTAACCCAAAAAGGGATGATTGTCTGCAGGAGTAATAGTGCTGTCGTCATTTACTACAGTGGAATATGTGGGTCAGCAGCTACTGCTACAATCCAACCAACCCAAACTATTGTGTGTGTGTGTGCGCGCGCGCGTGTCTGTACTGTTTCATAAGATATAAAGATAGAGCAGCTGTGGGCAGGGTGTGTCTTACACTTTTAAAATAAAAACAATGAGGTTGAGCAATAAAGTATCACATGCTAACAGACACCTTGGATTCAAGCTACTGTGCATGTCAAGGCGAAAACAGGAAATAATAGGCCGAAAAGACAGGAAAGGTGGGGAAAAGGAAGGGTAAAGAGTAACGGAAAGGGGAAAAGGTGAGGTGAAAACAGAGCATGAAACACGTGCAGACAGTGAGGCGGAGAGAAAACACGACCGCAGAGAACGAAGATGTGAGGTCACGGAGCTGGGGAATCGTAAGTTAATGTGTGGAGAGAGAAATGCTCCACTGACCCGCTTTTCACAGCTAACTATGAATACCAACAGGGATGAGTTTTTTTTTTACAGTCACGTGAGCAGCAAGCAAGTCAGGAGAAGAAAATGAACCAATCGAAGACCAGATTGTATCGTCAGTCTCCTTTTCAAAATTAGAGCTGAGCAACATTTGCTCAAAGTACTCTGCTGGTACACAGTACACACTGAGGGGAGGGAAAAATAAATCATTTGTCTCATTGAGGCATGCCTGTAGAGTAGGATTCCCTTAATTGAGGATTGTGTGAATTTCATCTTCTTCCAAGTCTTTTTAGACACTTTTTAATACTTTTTCAAACCCAAAGGCAAAATGCTCTTTTCATGTTGCTGTTCTAAGTTAATGTTGAATTACCTCGATCATGAAAGATTTAGTCATTATGTCTGCATGTTGAATATTTAATAGCACAGATGAATGAGACAGCATGAGCAATGGAGGAATATTCTATCCAAGTCCTCTGGATGCTCAGTTCATTTGCACCAAGCAGGTGTTCCTCACAGCTGCAACAACAGTTGCCGGGAGGCTTTTTTTGGGTGGTGGGGCGGCTAATGTGATCACATGTAATCGCAGATTTCTTTTTTATTAAGTTGAGCCAATCCATTGCTTATTTTGCAAGATTGTAAATGCGATTTCACTGTCAATACATTAAGGTAGTGGAACGCGAAGGACATGTTTTAGACCGTAAAATCTGTTTTGCATTTAAACTATACTATTACTGATGTTGGATTCTTGCCATTGTTGATGTCTGGTCATTTCGGACACCTGTTGAATGAGACTTCAATCTGGATGCATTAAAACGGTATTCATAGCCACTCCAGCAGCATTTGCTCATGAGTTCCCCGTCAAAACATCAATGTCCTGATACTTGTAGTCATGAGCCTTGGTTTGCATCCAAACAGAAGACGCATTCTTGAGTCAACTGTGCCGTAAAGCCCAAAGGCAAATTCGGGAATTTCCCCCTAAAAAGCCAAAGTTGTTTTGTGGTTCCCTTGTAACAGACAGGCCAATAATATGAAATGGCCAGTGTTAAAATATTAATGGGCTCTAATAAAGTATCTCAAGCAGCATCTTTGTGTGGATGGATCAGGATCAATGAGAAGGGGAATTGCACTAATCAGTATGCTGTATGCAGTTCTTTAAGAAGATCATTTTACTAAAATAAACCTGGTCAGGCGGCCCGGTGCTCCAGTGGTTAGTGTGTCGACCTCACAGTGCAGAGGTACCGGGTTCAATTCCAGCGCCGACCTCCCTGTGTGAAGTTTGCAAGTTCTCCCCCGGGCCTGCCTGTGTTTTCTCCGGGTACTCCGGTTTCCTCCCACATTCCAAAATCATGCATGGCAGGCTGACTGAACACTCTAAATTGTCCCTCGGTGTGAGTGTGAGCGTGGATGGATTATTCGTCTCTGTGTGCCCTGCGATTGATTGGCTGGCAACCAGTTCAGGGTGTCCCATGCCTAATGCCCGAAGACAGCTGGGAGAGGCTCCAGCACCCACCGCGACCCTTGTGAGGATAAGCGGATCGGAAAATGGATGGATGTATGGATGGATGGATAAACCTGATCAGCAACATTAAGAACCCCCATATCAAAAAATCATCAAACTTATTCAGAATGTGACTTACTTTGAGGTAATCATTCTCAGACCGGAGCTCCTCGATTTCCCTCACAAATTCCTCATGCATACCGTCCACAAACTCCTCAGTGAGGTCAGAGAAGGCCAGAGATGTGCTGGCTGGCATCCGGCTGTCCACCGAGGTGACCGAGCGCTCCTCGGGCGCAGATGAGCTCTCCTCGCCGGCCTCAACACCAACAGACAGTCGGTCCTTATCGCGTATCTCCGTGGAGCTTTTAGCACCGGCAAGGTATTGATGAGTTCCATTCCCGAGCTGGTTGTCCCCGCCACCTCGGCTACTCCTTGACTCGGTGTCACTGCTGGGGGCGTCTGAGGAGAGTTTGTGCTCCTCGGAGGCGCAGTCAGACAATTCGGAGCTACTGTCGGTGGGAGAAAGCTTTCCAGCGGCGCAGCCGGAATCCTTGGACAGGTCGTCCGATCCTATGCTGGCGTCCGACACCCTCCGTGCACCGCTGCTACTTTTGGCCATCTTGGTGGCCGAGTTCTTGGACGACGCGTTGGCGGAGGAAGCGGACGACTTGCCCGCCGGTTTCACACCATTTTTATCGGCTTTAACGTCTTTTCCACTGGGGCTTCGCCTGGAAATGCGATTCCCCAGGTGGATCGCTCCTGGCTTCACGCTCAGACTGGGGGCTCCCAAACCACCGCGGATCTTCGTGAGGGACCACCCGGGTACATCCTTGGGTCTGGCCGGTGACGGAGCGCGATTAATTTTCTTCTTCCCCCCCTGAGCTAACAGGAGAGCAGGCAGCTCCGCGTGCTGAGCCTGCCCACTGTCCGAACCTTCTCTCCCGCCTCCGCTTTCCATCTTCTGCCGGAGATGGAGTCTCCGTTCTTTAGGCGAGGCGAAGGAGAGGTGAGCCGGGCTGTTGTGGACATCAACCTCCTTTGACTTTGTCATTCATTCCGTTGGAACCGAACCCGGAAACCGAAAAGAAAGCTCTTGTTGTTGTAGGGTTGTTTTCTACCGTGGGAGGCAGAAGTCCAACTGAAATGAATAGACAACAGCGCACAGACAAAAGGAGTGAGATTTTCTCTCTGGCTACAATGAAAAGCTCACGCGGTAAACTGAAAAATACATCCGACAGGATCCGATTTAAAAATGTGTCCTCTTCACCGTGCTTCGTAAAACAAAAAAATTATCTCAAGGTTTTACATCTATAAAGATGCATTTCCTCAAAACGGCGGCGCTTGTCGTCCAACGGCGTCTGCCTTCAAGCTACGAGTTTAGCGTGAAGAATCAGAGGCGGAGAAGTCGCCTTCTTTCCCCGCCCACATAACGGACATGCGGCAGGAGGGAAGACATGTTTCAACCAAGATGGAGAAAAAAGGGAAAACAAAACACACTAAAACGTATTCCCTTTGTGGTCCTCAACATATCTGTACTTTTTTGTTAGTCTCAGAAAAAAAATGATCACAAGAATTTAACCGTCAAATACTTGCTCCTCAGTTAACTTAATCCTCTCCATTCAGCTCCAAATCAACAAATTATGATTTGGACCTTCTATTAGATTTTAAAAACGGAGTGTTTTATAAATAAACACAAATGCATTTTCATATCCGTAAAAATCTTTACAGAAATAGGCACATATTTTTCAGAGATGAAAAAGAGTATCGTTTACATTAACTTACATGTATTATTTTAAAAAAGGTTGAATTCGTTAAACAGTCTCCCAAGGGGGAAAAAAAATGTTTGTATTAGACATGCAAATACATTTGAGGGTAATGTCATGAGAGGCGACTCATGGGACATTTCTGTAGCTCTCTTGCGCCACCTGGAGAAGATTATGAGACTCTACAGAAAGATTGTAGCACGAGATAGATAGATAGATAGATAGATAGATAGATAGATAGATAGATAGATAGATAGATAGATAGATAGATAGATAGATAGATAGAGAGATAGGTAGGTAGATAGATAGATAGATAGATAGATAGATAGATAGATAGATAGATAGATAGATAGATAGATGGATAGATAGATAGATAGATAGATAGATAGATAGATAGATAGATAGATAGATAGATAGATAGATAGGATTGCACCTTTATGCATCATTTAAACAAATTTATTTACTTGTTAATTTATCCAGTAGAACTTTCCTTTCAACAAAATGTGTTATCTTACTGCTATGTCTACAGTAAACAAACAAGGCCACACAACCCTCACCCGCCATGATTAATTCAACTCCTTTCTGTTGCGAGAGGTCAACATGTCACCAGACACCAAGCTCCAAGTCCATGCGATAACGGTCAAGCAAACATGTAGTTGACAGACTTGCTCCGGCAGTCATTCCGATGGTGATAAACGAGTCAGCGATAGAGGGGGGCAGTCAGTGGGCGCAGTTCTCTTTGGATGACAGCATGATAGACCATTGAGAATAACCGTATTGTCACACACCTTCCAATACACATGTCAACATGTAGGCCTATTGTATTTTGTCCTTTAGTTGCACATTTTCACCAACACTTAACACAACAGGAAATGAAAACAATATGAATGAGAGTTCCCATCACATCAACCATCTGTCATTTCTGTCTCTTCTAAAATATGAAGTTTATTTTACGGTTAATAATAAAAAAAAAAGTGAGAATACTAATACCGTTTATCTGGCTACTTGTTCGCTTATCAGAATGCTATTGTGACTGCAATGTAAAAGCTACAGAAATTATTCAAGGTTATGGGTCTTGAAACGGAGCAGAGAAATATGTGCCAATCACAGTAATGCTCCAGTGGTATCAATCGTCCATCCATCCATTTTCTAACCTGCTGATTCTCATGAGGGTTGTGGGCGTGCTGGAGCCTATCCCAGCTATCTTCGGGCAGTGGGTGGCGGGGGACACCCTGAACTGGTTGCCATCCGATTGCAGAGCACGCAGAGATGAATAACCATTTGCATTCACGCTCACACCTAGGGCCAATTTATAGTGTTCCATTAGCCTGCCATGCATGCTTTTGGAATGTGGGAGGAAACCGGAGTACCCGGAGAAAACTCACACAGGTATGGGGAGAACATACAAACTCCACACAGAAAGGCCACAATGAGGTTTTTAAAAGCACTTCTCACATGCAGGGAGGACTCAAAAAGTGCTCGACGTGTTGTTTGACTTTGGGCTTAGTCACTTCTGGGCAGTGATCGCCACATCCAGTTACTCGCATGACTTGTTTGGCATAGTTTCTACGGCTGCTGCCCTTCCCAATGCAACCCACCTATGGCAGTGGCCGGGAAATAGAGTGCTTAACAAGGTTAAAGGAAGGCTTCTTTAATTTCACGTGTGGCTTGATTGGTAGTAATCAATTAGTTTTCCATGGAAAACCACATACAAGCTGTTAAATACAATACAATACATCCTGGTTTATATAGCGCTGTCACAACAGCTGCAGCTGTAACAAAGCGCTTAACAAAACAGTTAACATAAAGTAAAATAATGAACACAACACATAACGTAAAACACAGACAGTTGTGCAATCCGAACCACTTTTCCCTCACACGCTTTGTTGTTTAAAGCAGGTTGAGATGAAAGTGGAGAGAATCAAAGTGTCCTTTCACCAGCGGATCAGAGATGTCATATTTCACTTAAATGGCAATATCTTCAGCACACTGGTATGTGCACGATGAGTCCAATGAGACGTACCATGTGTAATTTATAATAGACGCACATCTGACAATGAGGAGGAACCAAAGAAAAGCAATACCATAATGCAAAGCATAGCAAAAGGTTGACCACAAACAGCAAACAATGTGTACACTGCAATTTAAAGCGTTCTTTCCTAGGTTTTGTCAAGACCCCATGTGCACAACTGCACAAGGACAGGCAGGCATGCATGAGTGTACAGTGAACATTTCCGGTACAAGGAGTGATTCACATTTGGAGAGGAGACATGCCACACAGTTGACATTAAAAACAAACGCCATGCCGAGTATTTTTAATGCGCAAGATGCGGGAAAAAAAAGTTTGAACATTGCTACTCAATCTGGTGACCTGAGGGTTTTGTTTCCTGCAAATGCTTGATTCCCATTCACCAAACTTGCTCCTTATTTCGGTCATCCTGGCAGGTAGAGAAATCTGGCTGTATTCTACTGTATACCTTTTGGTCCCACAGACCACGATGACATTGTCCTATATTGTCCACTGAATACCACTCTCTCTCTCTCTCTCTCTCTCTCTCTCTCTCTCACCCTCTCTCTCTCTCTCATTTGACTGTTTTACTGCTTTTTCACATTTTCTTTTGCATTAAAATTACAGGGTTAGTGTTAGGGTCGGGACGGGTTAGGTATGATCCTTTCAGGGTCAGAATTAAGCTTTTAATACATGGCATTTTCCTGAGCCAACATACTACATTACGTTATTCACATCCAAAACTGGATCCAGTACTTAGTAGTCCTGTAACAATTCCAAGGTTGAGTTGTCTTTTGTGTCACATTGTTATAATTATTCTCTTGTTGGCCTTACAGCGGCTTGTATTGTATTTTACAGTCAAAAAAATCTCACAGCCCACCATGGAAATTTTTGTTTTTTAAAAAAGCACATTGAAATAATGATGAATGATTGGCAATAGGTGGGTGCACAAGTTACCGTCTACCATTCTAGTGGAAGAACATTTCATTTGGTTTTCCGAAACAAATGGGCACATATAAAATATTTCTAGCAGCTAAATAATACATTTTGGTACAATTATGCGAAATCGGATAATTTTCAGCGGCACACTTGATGGCCTTTCATGGCCAACAAGAGTTGGGGAATCACTGATCTAGAGCCAGTGTGTCCCCTGTGCTTCCATCTTGTGGCGAATATTGTATCTTCAATATTAACAGTCAGTAAATGAATCTGCACTTGTTTGTATAATACAATTGAAAGTTTTTGGTTTTCAATGTGGTGTATTATTCAAGAGGCATACTGTCACACATTCAAACAAGTATGTAAAGACATACACACGCACACGCACACACACACAGCCACTCGCACACACACTTCACTTTCTGAAATCTGATATTGAATCAATTTAGTATTAAAAGTAAAAGTATCGCACATATTGCGTGGTCAATATTTTTTAAGTACTGTACTGTAAAACTAAAGTTGCCAAAAATATAGACACACGTGAAAATGAAGCTTAAGTACAGTAATGAAGTATTTATAAATTACTTTTAACATGTGCGTATCATTAATGTCAACGAGAAAGTAAAGAGCACAATCCCCCCTTTTCATTTATTGGTAAAAAGTATTTGGAATATTTATTATCCTTTTCTTGCAGTTTGTCAGTACCTACCCTCTGACCTGCACGCTCTATATAGCCCACGTTCGGTGCTGCTCCCACCCCCTGCATCGTTTCTTGCCGCTGGTATGCATTGTGATTGGACAGTGTACCCCCACCCTCACACCTGATTGGCCATCAATTATGTCAGTCATTCTTCCATTCCGCCCCCGCGGCTAGCCACTTCCGCTTCTGTGTCAAACCCAAAAGCTTCACTGCAAGTTCCTTTTCTGGACTTGTCATACCGCTTACACAGCCAACGCTATTCAGGTAAGACATGTTTTCACGGTGTCTCTTTTATCGGTTTCTATTTTCTTAATGGGTGTTATGGCTGAGTATTTGAATTCTGTTTTTTTTCCACATGGAGGGACTTCTGTGCTAGTTAGCTCTGCTCACTGTTAGCCTCATAGCTAACATGAAGGCTCGCTGTCAGTCGGATGCCCTGTCGGTATTGGATCCGACATTTGGGTGTCTAGGATCGTTATGACGAAAAATAAAGGTCGAACTTGTTTTCTGGGATTTAAGTTGACGGAGACGACTGCAGTTTGTTCAGAGTTGTGATGTGTCAGCCACAACGATTGTTATACAGTACGTGCTAATCATCGCAGCCAACTCAGCAGCATTTGGGACAGTTTTTTGGTGTTTTTTTTTTTCTTAGGCAACACAAAATAGTTTCCTGCTGTTGATAAATGGGCACACGATGACACACACATCGGCAGATCCCAACTTCTATTAAGTTTCCGTTTCGATCCGTCCAACGTCAAGTGTGAGATAATAACGCGTGGAACTCAGCCAAGTTGGAAATGGGACAACATGTACTATTCATTGATGTACATTTGCGCGAAACGCGCAGATCCGCGTGAGAACATTTCTGCGTTATTATCTCTAATCTCCGTGTTGGTTAAAGGTACCTCCCATGGAATTCAATTGCCTCAGCAAAGCTCTCATGCCTGTTCAACTTGTGAATGCCTCCATCCAAATCAACACCCGACCCTGAGGAAACGCATTGTTTTCCTCTCTTAGATGGTTCATTGTGAGTCATTGACATTCAGGTTATTTTACCGTACCGAGAAAGTCGTTCATGCTATTTCAACCATCATGTGTGGCAAGT